TGAATATATTTTGATGTAAAATTATATATATATATATATATATATATATATATATATATATATATTCTAAAATATAATTTATATTAATTACTACAATATAAAATATATATTCCACAATATAACTTATTTTCATTTATATATATATTATAGAAATTAAAATAAATTATATTTTAGAATATAAAATTTTTTAAATGATCGATCACTTTTTCAAATAATTGAGACTTTAGATAGCGGTTAACATGGAATCGCTATCATATGTTCACATTTAAGAGCGGTTAAGATGTTAACCGCTCTTAAAAGTGAACATATGATAGCGGTTTCGCCCTAACCGCTATCTAAAGTCTCAATTATTTGTATATATTTTGATGTAAAATTATATATATATATATATATATATATATATATATATATCTAAAATATAATTTATATTAATTACTATAACATAAAATATATATTCGACAATATAACTTATTTTCATTTATATATATATATATATATATATATATATATATATATATTATAGAAATTAAAATAAATTATATTTTAGAATATATAATTTTTCAAATGATCGATTACTTTTCCAAATGATCGATCACTTTTTCAAATAATCGAGACTTTAGATAGCGGTTAACGTGGAACCGCTATCATATATTCACATTTAAGAGCGGTTAAGATGCAACCGCTCTTAAAAGTAAACATATGACAACGGTTCCGCGTTAACCGCTATCTAAAGTCTCGATTATTTGAATATATTTTGATGTAAATATATATATATATATATATATATATATATATATATATTCTAAAATATAATTTATATTAATTACTATAATATAAAATATATATTCCACAATATAAGTTATTTTCATTTATTTATATATTATAGAAATAAAAATAAATTATATTTTAGAATATATAATTTTTCAAATGATCGATTACTATTTCAAATGATTGATCAATTTTTCAAATAATCGAGACTTTAGATAGCGGTTAACGTGGAATCGTTATCATATGTTCACATTTAAGAGCGGTTAAGATGTTAACCGCTCTTAAAAGTGAACATATGCTAGCAGCTCCACCTTAACCGCTATCTAAAGTCTCGATTATTTGAATATATTTTGATGTAAAATTATATATATATTCTAAAAGTGAACTTATGAACATATGATAGCAGTTCCACCTTAACCGCTATCTAAAGTCTCGATTACTTTTCCAAATGATCGATCACTTTTTCAAATAATCGAGACTTTAGATAGCGGTTAACGTGGAACCGCTATCATAGCTTCAAATTTAAGAGCGTTTAAGATGCAAACCGCTCTTAAAAGTGAACATATGATAGCGGTTCACGCGTTAACCACTATCTAAAGTCTCGATTATTTGAATATATTTTGATGTAAAATTATATATATATAAATATATATATATATATATATATATTCTAAAAAATATAATTTATATTAATTACTATAATATAAAATATATATTCCACAATATAACTTATTTTCATTTATATATATATTATAGAAGTTAAAATAAATTATATTTTAAAAATATATAATTTTTCAAATGATCGATTACAATTTCAAATGATTGATTACTTTTTCAAATAATCGAGACTTTAGATTGTGGTTAACGTGGAACCACTTATCATATCTTCACATTTAAGAGCGGTTAAGATGCAACAGCTCTTAAAAATGAACATATGATAGCGGTTCCGCGTTAACCACTATCTAAAGTCTCGATTATTTGAATATATTTTAATGTAAAATTACATATATATATATATATATATATATATATATATTCTAAAATATAATTTATATTAAATACTATAATATAAAATATATATTCCACAATATAACTTATTTTCATTTATATATATATTATATAAATTAAAATAAATTATATTTTAGAATATATAATTTTTCAATTGATCGATTACTATTTCAAATGATCGATCATTATTTCATATAATCGAGACTTTAGATAGCGGTTAACGTGGAATCGCTATCATATGTTCACATTTAAGAGCGGTTAAGATGTTAACCGCTCTTAAAAGTGAACATTTGATAGCGGTTCGGCGTTAACCGCTATCTAAAGTCTCGATTATTTGAATATATTTTGATGTAAAATTATATATATATATATATATATATATATATATATATATTCTAAAATATAATTTATATTAATTACTATAATATAAAATATATATTCCACAATATAACTTATTTTCATTTATATATATATATATATATTATAGAAATTACAATAAATTATATTTTAGAATATATAATTTTTCAAATGATCGATTATTTTTCCAAATGATCGATCACTTTTTAAAATAATCGAGACTTAGATAGCGGTTAACGTAGAACCGCTATCATATCTTCACATTTAAGAGCGGTAAAAATGTTAAACGCTCTTAAAAGTGAACATATGATAGCAGTTCCACCTTAAACGCTATCTAAAGTCTCGATTATTTGAATATATTTTGTTGTAAAATTATATATATATATATATAATCTAAAATATAATTTATATTAAATACTATAATATAAAATATATATTCCACAATATAACTTATTTTCATTTATATATATATATATATATATATATATTATAGAAATTAAAATAAATTATATTTTAGAATATATAATTTTTCAAATGATCGATTACTTTTCCAAATGATCGATCACTTTTTCAAATAATCGAGACTTTAGATAGCGGTTAACATGGACCGCTATCATATCTTCACATTTAAGAGCGGTTAAGATGCAATCGCTCTTAAAAGTGAACATATGATAAGCGGTTCCGCGTTAACCGATATCTAAAGTCTCGATTATTTGAATATATTTTGATGTAAAATTACATATATATATATATATATATATATATTTCTAAAATATAATTTATATTAAATACTATAATATAAAATATATATTCCACAATATAACTTATTTTCATTTATATATATATTATATAAATTAAAATAAATTATATTTTAGAATATATAATTTTTCAATTGATCGATTACTATTTCAAACGATCGATCATTATTTCAAATAATCGAGACTTTAGATAGCGGTTAACGTGCAATCGCTATCATATGTTCACATTTAAGAGCGGTTAAGATGTTAACCGCTCTTAAAAGTGAACATTTGATAACGGTTTAGCTGTTAACCGCTATCTAAAGTCTCGATTATTTGAATATATTTTGATGTAAAATTATATATATATATATATATATATATATATATATATATGTATTCTAAAATATAATTTATATTAATTACTATAATATAAAATATATATTCCACAATATAACTTATTTCAATTTATATATATATTATAGAAATTAAAATAAATTATATTTTAGAATATATAATTTTTCAAATGATCGATTACTATTTCAAATGATCGATCACTTTTTCAAATAATCGAGACTTTAGATAGCGGTTAAGGTGGAACCGCTATCATATGTTCACTTTTAAGAGCGGTTAACATCTTAACCGCTCTTAAATGTGAACATATGATAGCGGTTCTACCTTAATCATTGCCTAAAGTCTTGATTATTTGAATATATTTTGAGGTAATAATATATATATATATATATATATATATATATTATAGAAATTAAAATAAATTATATTTTAGAATATATAATTTTTCAAATGATCGATTATTTTTCCAAATGATCGATCACTTTTTCAAATAATCGAGACTTTAGATAGCAAGTTAACGTGGAACCGCTTATCATATCTTCACATTTAAGAGCGGTTAAAATGTTAACCGCTCTTAAAAGTGAACATATGATAGCAGTTCCACCTTAACCGCTATCTAAAGTCTCGATTATTTGAATATATTTTAATGTAAAATTATATATATATATATATATATATATATATATTCGAAAATATAATTTATATTAATTACTATAATATAAAATATATATTCTACAATATAACTTATTTTCATTTATATATATATATATATATATATATATTATAGAAATTAAAATAAATTATATTTTAGAATATATAATTTTTCAAATGATCGATTACTTTTCCAAATGATCGATCACTTTTTCAAATAATCGAGACTTTAGATAGCGGTTAGCGTGGAACCACTATCATATATTCACATTTCGAGGCGGTTAAGATGTTAACCGCTCTTAAAAGTGAACATATGATAGCAGTTCCACCTTAACCGCTATCTAAAGTCTCGATTATTTGAATATATTTTGATGTAAAATTATATATATATATATATATATATATATATATATATTTTTTAAATATAATTTATATTAATTACTTTAATATAAAATATATATTCCACAATATAATTTATTTTCATATATATATATATATATATATATATATATATAGAAATTAAAATAAATTATATTTTAGAATATATAATTTTTCAAATGATCGATTACTTTTCCAAATGATCGATCACTTTTTCAAATAATCGAGACTTTAGATAGCGGTTAACGTGGAACCGCTATCATATCTTCACATTTAAGAGCGGTTAAGCCGCAACCGCTCTTAAAAGTGAACATATGATAGCGGTTCCGCGTTAACCGATATCTAAAGTCTCGATTATTTGAATATATTTTGATGTAAAATTATATATATATATATATATATATATATATATATATTCTAAAATATAATTTATATTAATTACTATATTATAAAATATATATATTTTTTTCTTTATTTTATATCATTATATAAATTAATTATAAAGATTATATTCTATCATTAAATTACAAATTCATATAAAGAGACTTACTCACAAATTTGACATCAAATTTTGAAAACCCACTTGACGCACACTTTTACTCTCGAAGCGCTCTCACATCCAACATATAAATATATAAATATATTTGTATTTGTATTTATATATTTTATATTTATATATTTACATGGATATACATTTTTATTTGTATATAAATATAATTTATGTATAAGTTATTATTAGAAAATCCTGGTAGCTTAGTGGTTGGAGTATCAGCCTTTGACTCTAACGTACTGGGTTCGAATCCCGTCAGTAGCAATTCTCTTAATTTTATAAAAAGACTTTCTACATCGGTTCATCTGAGAACCGATGTAGAAAGTGTTTTCTACATCGGTTCCTAACTAAACCGATGTAGAAAGTCTTGAATTCACTTCCTACATCGGTTCTTAAAGAACCGATGTGGAAAGCCCGATGTTAAAAGTGATTTCTGTACTAGTGTATATATTTCACAATATAACTTATTTTCATTTATATATATATTATAGAAATTAAAATAAATTATATTTTAGAATATATAATTTTTCAAATGATCGATTACTATTTCAAATGATCGATCACTTTTTCAAATAATCGAGACTTTAGATAACGGTTAACGTGGAACCGCTATCATATGTTCACATTTAAGAGCGGTTAAGATGTTAACCGCTCTTAAAAGTGAACATATGATAGCGGTTCCACCTTAACCGCTATCTAAAGTCTCGATTATTTGAATATATTTTGATGTAAAATTATATATATATATATATATATATATATATATATATATATATATATTATAGAAATTAAATTATAGAATTATATTTATAGATATATATATATATATATATATTCTAAAATATAATTTATTTTAATTTCTATATATATATATATATATATATATATATATTTTATATTATAGTAATTAATATAAATTATATTTTAGAATATATAATTTTTCAAATGATCGATTATTTTCCAAATGATCGATCACTTTTTCAAATAATCGAGACTTTAGATAGCGGTTAACGTGCAACCGCTATCATATCTTCACATTTAAGAGCGGTTAAAATGTTAACCGCTTTTAAAAGTGAACATATGATAAGCGGTTCCAACTTAACCGTTATCTAAAGTCTCGATTATTTGAATATATTTTGATGTAAAATTATATATATATATATATATATATATATAAATGAAAATAAGTTATATTGTGGAATATATATTTTATATTATAGTAATTAATATAAATTATATTTTAGAATATATATATATATATATATATATATTATAGAAATTAAAATAAATTATATTTTAGAATATATAATTTTTCAAATGATCGATTATTTTTCCAAATGATCGATAACTTTTTCAAATAATCGAGACTTTAGATAGCAGTTAACGTGGAACTGCTATCATATCTTCACATTTAAGAGCGGTTAAAATGTTAACCGCTCTTAAAAGTGAACATATGATAGCGGTTCCACCTTAACCACTATCTAAAGTCTCGATTATTTGAATATATTTTGATGTAAAATTTTATATATATATATATATATATATATATATATATATATTCTAAAATATAATTTATATTAATTACTATAATATAAAATCTATATTCCACAATATAACTTATTTTCATTTATATATATATTATAGAAATTAAAATAAATTATATTTTAGAATATATAATTTGTCAAATGATCGATTACTATTTCAAATGATCGATCATTTTTTCAAATAATCGAGACTTTAGATAGCGGTTAACGTGGAATCGCTATCATATGGTCACATTTAAGAGCGGTTAAGATGTTAACCGCTCTTAAAAGTGAACATATGATAGCGGTTCCACCTTAACCGCTATCTAAAGTCTCGATTATTTGAATATATTTTGATGTAAAATTATATATATATATATATATATATATATATATTCTAAAATATAATTTATATTAATTATTATAATATAAAATATATATTCCACAATATAACTTATTTTCATTTATATATATTATAGAAATTAAAATAAATTATATTGTAGAATATATAATTTTTCAAATGATCGATTATTTTTCCAAATGGTCGATCACTTTTTCAAATAATCGAGACTTTAGATAGCGTTTAACGTGGAACCGCTATCATATCTTCACATTTAAGAGCGGTTAAAATGTTAACCACTCGTAAAAGTGAACATATGATAGCGGTTCCACCTTAACCGCTATCTAAAGTCTCGATTATTTGAATATATTTTGATGTAAAATTATATATATATATATATATATATATATATATATATTCTAAAAAATAATTGATATTAATTACTATAATATAAAATACATATTCCACAATATAACTTATTTTAATTTATATATATATATATATATTATAGAAATTAAAATAAATTATATTTTAGAATATATAATTTTTCAAATGATCGATTACTTTTCCAAATGATCGATCACATTTTCAAATAATCGAGACTTTAGATAGCGGTTAACGTGGAACCGTTATCGTATCTTCACATTTAAGAGCGGTTAAGATGCAACCGCTCTTAAAAGTGAACATATCATAGCGGTTCCGCGTTAACCGCTATCTAAAGTCTCGATTATTTGAATATATTTTGATGTAGAATTATATATATATATATATATATATATATATATATATTCTAAAATATAATTTATATTAATTACTATAATATAAAATATATATTCCACAATATAACTTATTTTCATTTATATATATATTATAGAAATTAAAATAAATTATATTTTAGAATATATAATTTTTCAAATGATCGATTGCTATTTCAAATGATCGATCACTTTTTCAAATAATCGAGACTTTAGATAGCGGTTAATGTGGAACCGCTATCATATCTTCACATTTAAGAGCGGTTGAGATGCAACCGCTCTTAAAAGTGAACATATGATAGCGGTTTCGCGTTAACCGCTATCTAAAGTCTCGATTATTTGAATATATTTTGATGTATAATTACACACACATAATATATATATATATATATATATATATATATATATATATATATATATATTCTAAAATATAATTTATATTAATTACTATAATATAAAATATATATTCCATAATATAACTTATTTTCATTTATATATATTATAGAAATTAAAATAAATTATATTTTAGAATATATAATTTTTCAAATGATCGATTACTATTTCAAATGATCGATAACTTTTTCAAATAATCGAGACTTTAGATAGCGGTTAACGTGGAATCGCTATGATATGTTCACATTTAAGAGCGGTTAAGATGTTAACCGTTCTTAAAAGTGAACATATGATAGCGGTTGCACCTTAACCGCTATCTAAAGTCTCGATTTTTTGAATATATTTTGATATAAAATTATATATATATATATATATATATATATATATATATATGAAAATAAGTTATATTGTGGAATATATATTTTATATTTTAGTAATTAATATAAATTATATTTTAGAATATATATATATATATATATATATATATATTATAGAAATTAAAATAAATTATATTGTAGAATATATAATTTTTCAAATGATCGATTATTTTTCCAAATGATCGATCACTTTTTCATATAATCGAGACTTTAGATAGCGGTTAACGTGGAACCGCTATCATATCTTAACATTTAAGAGAGGTTAAAATGTTAACCGCTCTTAAAAGTGAACATATGATAGCGGTTCCACCTTAACCGCTATCTAAAGTCTCAATTATTTGAATATATTTTGATGTAAAATTATATATATATATATATATATATATATATATTCTAAAATATAATTTATATTATTTACTATAATATAAAATATATATTCCACAATATAACTTATTTTCATTTATATATATATTATAGAAATTCAAATAAATTATATTTTAGAATATATAATTTTTCAAATGATCGATTACTATTTCAAATGATCGATCACTTTTTCAAATAATCGAGATTTTAGATAGCGGTTAACGTGGAACCGCTTATCATATGTTCACATTTAAGAGCGGTTAAGATGTTAACCGCTCTTAAAAGTGAACATATGATAGTGGTTCCACCTTAGTCGCTATCTAAAGTCTCGATTATTTGAATATATTTTGATGTAAAATTATATATATATATATATATATATATATATTCTAAAATATAATTTATATTAATAACTATAATAGAAAATATATATTCCACAATATAACTTATTTTCATTTATATATATATGTATATATATTATAGAAATTAAAATATATTATATTTTAGAATATATAATTTTTCAAATGATCGATTATTTTTCCAAATGATCGATCACTTTTTCAAATAATCGAGACTTTAGATAGCGGTTAACATGGAACCGCTATCATATCTTCACATTTAAGAGCGGTTAAAATGTTAACCGCTCTTAAAAGTGAACATATGATAGCGGTTCCACCTTAACCGCTATCTAAAGTCTCGATTATTTGAATATATTCACTAGTGCAAAAAGGGACTTTTACGTCGAGTATTTAGGGCTTTTACGTCGTATTTAAGTCCGACGTTAAAGCGGGAGATGTAAATTTACGTCGGACCCTTTAGCCCGACGTAGATTTACGTCGATTATCAAGACCCGACGTAATTTTACGTGGCATATACCACTAAACAGACATAAAAACTTTCGAAAATAAAAAACAAAAACAAAAAATTTACGTCGTATATGGTATATACGACGTAAATTTACGCCACATATACCAATATGCGACGTAAATTTACGTCGCATATACCATATGCGACGTAAACACTTTATAAGTCATCCCTTCACCTTCACTTTTTAGACCAACATAACCATCAGCCCATTCGAAGTTATCACATAATGACCATGCAAAATATCCCTTCACCTTTACGCCATCCCTTCTAAATAAAGTCAACAAAATTAATTCAAATTATTTTTTCAAACAAAATACTCTTTAAATATAATAATAACAAATAAATATAAACCATTCCTTACCTAATTGCCAAGTTTAAATAATAGAGATGACGATAATAGTAGTCAATTCTGTATGTATCGAGAAGAGCTTCTTGAAGAGATAGTGTTGGATCAACAATTCTCTAATTCCTTTGGGATAAACATATAACCAACCAGAAGCTGTCTGCAAGTATAATTATCAAGTTATATAAAAATAAATAATAATAATAATAATAATAATAATAATAATAATTATTATTATTATTATTATTAAGTAAAAAATTGATGTGATGGTATACATACCGATTGACCTATTGGAATTCCATTGCGTGAATCTATCCCAAAAAAAATGAAATTGTTATAAAATAATATGATACTAATTAAAAAAATCATGGTATTACGTTAAATTTTAGCTTAAGATTAATTTATATTAAATAAAGTGAGTAATAAATATATAATTTATTTAAAAAATTAAGATGAACATATATACGATGGAAGAAGGTATCTTACATGAAGTTTTGACATTGGAATCAGAATCCAATAAAATCATATGAACCAGTCACAAGTCTTGCTTCTTCTTCAGAGAACTTTGGCAGTCGTTCACCAACCAGGGAAATCATGCTCTCTGGATATTTTCCTGATGTCAATGGTTCTATGAACCTGTAATCATTCTCAGTAAGATAACCATGATGATTTTTTGAGTTACGAGTCATAATTAATATTTGAATCCAGTGAAGAACTTACCATCCATACATGAAGTCAAGTGCTCGATTGGCAACATCTTTATCCACTTTGTGATTTGAATATGGCGTATACCAGAAACACACTAATGTTATGCCTATGATTCCTTTTTGAGATTTCTGAGTAAAGAGTTTGGAATGTTAAGTGAAAGAGTTATGCCAAAGTAAAATACTTGGACCCTAGCAGCAACTAACAAGGCTAAAGAAAAACCTGATATTTTTTCTTGTAGACTTGAACAGATGTTGCATGAGCAAGTAGTTGATAATGTGAAGCTAAATAGGGTTCTGTTCCTGAATCACCACCAGTGCAGTTTAGGTTTAGCCATTCAGAACATCGACCTGGTGCATAGATCCCAATTGCATAACCACCTCTACTGTAAGACCATGGCTCATTTAAAGTAATCCAATGATTCCTTCTTGGTTTATACCATATGACGTCTGTGATAACTTCGCATATTTCAATGTAAACATATAGCAATGACATAGAACACTAACCTCGAGTGTAGATGAAAAATGATTTCAAACTCGAATCCAATCGGGGAGAAATATCAAGTTCGTCAAATGACACGACAATGTAGATGTTTTTCACCGTAAAACCGCTCGAAAATGGTGTGCGAGAGGCAGCCGTTATCGTCGTTCTCGCCGTCGTTCTCAAAAACCCTGGTTGCGCGAGACGAGGGAGTGTGGTAGGGTGGGAATAAAAGAGACTTTTACGTCGCGCATCCCAGCACGCGACGTAAAAGCCCTCTTTTACGTCGCACCTAGGTGGCGCAACGTAAAAGAAGGCCTTTTACGTCGCGTGCTCGGGGGCAAGACGTAAAAGTTTTGTCCCTTATTTACAAAATTGCCACCGCGTTTTATTTACGTCGAATATTTTTACATGCGACGACAATTGGGTGACGTAAAAGCCCTTTTCCGCACTAGTGATTTTGATGTAAAATTATATATATATATATATATATTATAGAAATTAAAATAAATTATATTTTAGAATATATAACTTTTCAAATGATTGATTACTTTTCCAAATGATCGATCACTTTTTCAAATAATCGAGACTTTAGATAGCTGTTAACGTGGAACCACTATCATATCTTCACATTTAAGAGCGGTTAAGATGCAACCGCTTCTTAAAAGTGAACATATGATAGCTGCTCCGCATTAAACGCTATCTAAAGTCTCGATTATTTGAATATATTTTGATGTAAAATTATATATATATATATATATATATATATATATATATTCTAATATATAATTTATATTAATTACTATAATATAAAATATATATTCCACAATATAACTTATTTTCATTTATATATATATATATATATATATATATATATTATAGAAATTAAAATAAGTTATATTTTATAATATATAATTTTTCAAATGATCGATTACTTTTCCAAATGATAGATCACTTTATCAAATAATCAAGACTTTAGATAGCGTTAACGTGGAACCGCTATCATATCTTCACATTTAAGAGCGGTTAAGATGCAACCGCTCTTAAAAGTGAACATATGATAGCGGTTCCAGCGTTAACCGCTTTCTAAAGTCTCGATTATTTGAATATATTTTGATGTAAAATTATATATATATATATATATATATATATATATTCTCAAATGTAATTTATATTAATTACTATAATATAAAATCTATATTCCACAATATAACTTATTTTCATTTATATATATATTATAGAAATTAAAATAAATTATATTTTAGAATATATAATTTTTCAAATGATCGATTACTATTTCATATGATCGATCACTTTTTCAAATAATCGAGACTTTAGATAGCGGTTAATGTGGAACAACTATCATATGTTCACATTTAAGAGCGGTTAAGATGTTAACCGCTCTTACAAGTGAACATATGATAGCGGTTCCACCTTAACCGCTATCTAAAGTCTCGATTATTTGAATATATTTTGATGTAAAATTATATATATATATATATATATATATATATTATAAATTAAAATAAATTATATTTTAGAATATATAATTTTTCAAATGATCGATTATTTTTCCAAATGATTGATCACTATATTTTATATTATAGTAATTAATATAAATTATATTTTGGAATATATATATATATATATATATATATATATATATATAGAAATTAAAATAAATTATATTTTAGAATATATAATTTTTCAAATGATCGATTATTATTCCAAATGATCGATCACTTTTTCAAATAATCGAGACTTTAGATAGCGGTTAACGTGGAACCGCTTATCATATCTTCACATTTAAGAGCGGTTAAGATGCAACCGCTCTTAAAAGTGAACATATGATAGCGGTTCCGCGTTAACCGCTATCTAAAGTCTCGATTATTTGAATATATTTTGATGTATAAATTATATATATATATATATATATATATATATATATATTCTAAAATATAATTTATATTAATTACTATAATATAAAATATATATTCCACAATATAACTTATTTTCATTTATATATATATATATATATATATATATATATATATATATTATAGAAATTAAAATAAATTATATTTTAGAATATATAATTTTTCAATTGATCGATTATTTTTCCAAATGATCGATCACTTTTTCAAATAATCGAGACTTTAGATAGCGGTTAACGCTGGAACCACTATCATATCTTCACATTTAAAATAGGTTAAAATGTTAACCGCTCTTAAAAGTGAACATATGATAGCGGTTCTACCTTAACCGCTATCTAAAGTCTCGATTATTTGAATATATTTTGATGTAAAATTATATATATATATATATATATATTCTAAAATATAATTTATATTAATTACTATAATATAAAATATATATTCCACAATATAACTTATTTTCATTTATATATATTATAGAAATTAAAATAAATTATATTTTAGAATATATAATTTTTCAAATGATCGATTATTATTCCAAATGATCGATCACTTTTTCAAATAATCGAGACTTTAGATAGCGGTTAAGGTGGAACCGCTATCATATCTTCACATTTAAGAGCGATTAAAATGTTAACCAGCTCTTAAAAGTGAACATATGATAGCGGTTCCACCTTAACCGCTATCTAAAGTCTCGATTATTTGAATATATTTTGATGTAATATATATATATATATATATATATATATATATATATATATTCAAAAATATAATTTATATTAATTACTATAATATAAAATATATATTCCACAATATAACATATTTTCATTTATATATATATATATATTATATTATAAATATATATATATATATATATATTATAGAAATTAAAATAAGTTATATTTTATAATATATAATTTTTCAAATGATCGATTACTTTTCCAAATGATAGATCACTTTATCAAATAATCGAGACTTTAGATAACGGTTAACGTGGAACCGCTATCATATCTTCACATTTAAGAGCGATTAAGATGCAACCGCTCTTAAAAGTGAACATATGATAAGCGGTTCCGCGTTACCGCTTTCTAAAGTCTCGATTATTTGAATATATTTTGATGTAAAATTATATATATATATATATATATATATATATATATATATATTCTAAAATGTAATTTATATTAATTACTATAATATAAAATCTATATTCCACAATATAACTTATTTTCATTATATATATATATATTATAGAAATTAAAATAAATTATATTTTAGAATATATAATTTTTCAAATGATCGATTACTATTTCATATGATCGATCACTTTTCAAATAATCGAGACTTTAGATAGCGGTTAATGTGGAACAACTATCATATGTTCACATTTAAGAACAGTTAAGATGTTAACCGCTCTTACAAGTGAACATATGATAGCGGTTCCACGTTAACCGCTATCTAAAGTCTCGATTATTTGAATATATTTTGATGTAAATTATATATATATATATATAATATATATATATATATATATATATATATATATATATATATATATATATATATATATATATTATAGAAATTAAAATAAATTATATTTTAGAATATATAATTTTTCAAATGATCGATTATTTTTCCAAATGATCGATCACTATATTTTATATTATAGTAATTAATATAAATTATATTTTGGAATATATATATATATATATATATATATATTATAGAAATTAAAATAAATTATATTTTAGAATATATAATTTTTCAAATGATCGATTATTTTTCCAAATGATCGATCACTTTTCAAATAATCGAGACTTTAGATAGCGGTTAACGTGGAACCACTATCATATCTTCACATTTAAGAGCGGTTAAGATGCAACCGCTCTTAAAAGTGAACATATGATAGCGGTTCCGCGCTAACCGCTATCTAAAGTCTCGATTATTTGAATATATTTTGATGTAAAATTATATATATATATATATATATATATATATATATTCTAAAATATAATTTATATTAATTACTATAATATAAAATATATATTCCACAATATAACTTATTTTCAATTTTATATATATATATATATATTATAGAAATTAAAATAAATTATATTTTAGAATATATAATTTTTCAATTGATCGATTATTATTTCCAAATGATCGATCACTTTTTCAAATAATCGAGACTTTAGATACGGTTAACGTGAACCACTATCATATCTTCACATTTAAAATAGGTTAAAATGTTAACCGCTTTTAAAAGTGAACATATGATAGTTCTACCTTAACCGTTATCTAAAGTCTCGATTATTTGAATATATTTTGATGTAAATTATATATATATATATATATATATATATATATATATATATTCTAAAATATAATTTATATTAATTACTATAATATAAAATATATATTCCACAATATAACTTATTTTCATTTATATATATATATATGAAATTAAAATAAATTATATTTTAGAATATATAATTTTTCAAATGATCGATTACTATTACAAATAATCAATCACTTTTTCAAATAATCGAGACTTTAGATAGCGGTTAACGTGGAATCGGTATTATATGTTCACATTTAAGAGCGTTAAGATGTTAACTGCTCTTAAAAGTAAACTTATGATAGCGGTTCCACCTTAACCGCTATCTAAAGTCTCGATTATTTGAATATATTTTGATGTAAAATTATATATATATATATGATATATAAATGAAAATAAGTTATATTTTGGAATATATATTTTATATTATAGTAATAAATATAAATTATATTTTAGAATATATATATATATATATATATAATAGAAATTAAAATAAATTATATTTTAGAATATATAATTTTTCAAATGATCGATTACTTTTCCAAATGATCGATCACTTTTCAAATAATCGAGACTTTAGATAGCGTTAACGTGGAACCGCTTATCATATATTCACATTTAAGAGCGGTTAAGATGCAACCGCTCTTAAAAGTGAACATATGACATGTCGGTTAACCGCTATCTAAAGTCTCGATTATTTGATATA